ATTGGGATAAAGAGGAAAAACCTTTACAGGCATGTTCAGGTTTGTAAGAACCAAGACTAGAAACTGTGGAATTGGAAAGAACAGCAGAATAGTCTAAATTTAGAGGAACGCACAGCCTCAATCACAAAGGAAACCGATTTTTTTTCCAATGCTGAGACATTACAGTAGACTGAAAATCAGCTAGAGGGACTTCGTCTTTCCAAAAGGGAAGAAAGAGTCGCACCATCAGACAAAGAACCATCTGTAACAATTACAGCAGAACCAGAAATATCAGGCATCTCATCCTCAGAGGCCGCAGGCAAAGGCGATTTGCAACACTTTTTACCCCTGTGAGTGGGAGCAACAAGTTTCTCTAATCAAGACAAAAAGACTTCCATAGTAGAGGAAAATTCAGATTTTGTTAGAAAAGGTGAAGGGGTACCTGACAAGGAAATGCAGGGTTAGAAGCTGACAATTAATTGTACAACAAAAATAATTTTCTCTTTTGCTCACTGTTGAACATGACCCTTTCTACATAAAGGGGTGGGCAATAGCAAAAATCTTCAAAAAACTGCAAAAAGGAATCATTCCCCAAGGCAAGGAAGATACACCGCTGCCTGCAGAACTGTGTGTCCAGCACTAGCATCTGAAAATGCAGCAACATCAACCTTGTAAAAATTGGTAAGTTTTGACAAGGCAGCTGCTTGCCAGACTGAGAAACAATGCACTCACCACCCTAGTAGAAAGGGCTGTAACTGAAAACAGAGGATTTAGGTGGCATAAACAAACTACATCTGACAAAGCCAACAAGAAAAGGTGGCTGCACAGGCTGCCTGGCCTTTCTGTAACCCAACAGTGACCAGAAAAGTCTGTCTGGCAGGAGACTGTAGCATTCCAATAAACATAAATAGCCTGGACAACATCCAGGCAGTAGAGAACAAAAGTGACCTCCTTGAAATAGTAAATAAAGCAATAACAGGAGACTAAACCCTATCCTTTAGGAACTAGCTTTCTATGGGCTATTAAAACCAGTGGCTGCAAAGCAGCATGGAAGATGGGTCCTTGTGACAGCAGGTCAGGATGAAGAGGAAGGTACAAGGGAGTGTCTGTGACCAGACAAACTATGTCCGTGTACCAAGACTGATGAGGCCAATCCAATGGCACCAGATCCGTTCAGCTTTGATACTGTGGTGGAACAGCCGAGGTAGAAGGTTTATCAAAGGAAAAAGCATACATCAGTGCATTTGTCATACACTCCCAGTGATTTGTCCTGGCTACAAATCCTGTCCACTATATGGTTAGAGCAAAACACCATCAGGTCCACCTGGAGCATCCCCTATAGCAAACATAACTCAACACAACAAGGTTTCCCGGTGAAGAGGCCACTCTATTGATTTAGGCTTTGGTCGATAGTCAACCTGACAATACTTCATGCCCCCAGTAAGACATGGGACATCTCTAGTGCTGCAGCTGCACTCCTTTGTTTCTCCTTAGTTGATATACACCACCATGTGATGTAGTCCAACTGCACCCTTACTGAATGCCCTTCCAAGACACTTTTCCAGTTCCAGGGCCACAAACTGTTAATGACCCGTACCTTAGAAAAGTGGAAGACGCTCTGATCAACGAGGCCAATGGGAACAAGAAAGTTAGCTTTCCTAAAATTAATCAAACATAACATGTTCCCTGATGGAAAGAAGACACGACTGATTGAACAGACTATCTTTATTTTGCACATACTCACAAAAGGCATTGAACCTCTTGAAGTCCAGGGTGAGCTAAGCCATCCTCCTTTAGGCCAGTGACGAGGTTTACACCAAAGCCTTTGAATCTTTTCTGAGGGAGGAATCAGGGCAATCACCTTTGCATAATGAAGATTGGCGTGGATGAACCGCTTGGGTGGAGGGAAAAGGTACTCTCTTGTGTCTGTAGACCACCAGCAAGCAAAACCATCTGTCTGAGATGTGGCTGTGTCAGTGAATCAGAAAGTGGGAGAAGGAAGGAAGACATCCCCCCAGCTGGAGAAGCACAGGTGTGGGCAAACCTTTGTGCAGAGGATGACTTATCCTCAGGGTTGGAGGCCCCTTGTGAACAAAAAGCCACTAGGGAGTGAACCAGACTTTGGACATGGAGTCTTTGACTTCTTGGTTTAAGGAAGGTAGCTATCCTACCTGCCTGTGACATTCTTAATCATGTTAGCCATTGTCGCTCTGAACAGGTGCTCTCCAGTGAAGGGAGGTTCAATAAGCATCCACAGACTAACACCTCAAGTCAGAGGCACCTACAAATAACTACATCAGTCTCAACATCAGAGGGGATACATACATACATACATACATACATACATACATACAGTAGGCCCTGAAACAGTTGTTCCACCAGGTTCATGGAAAACCAGAGATGCTTGTTCATCTGACAAGCCTGATATGAGTTTGGACCCTTATGTTGAGGTATGTGTAACAGGACCTGTGACAGAACACAAGGATCCCTGGTAACAGGAATAAGAAAACATGTGTACAATACTGGTTTTGCCCGTGCTGAAGGCAATCTGTGCCTTCATAAAAAAGGGAAAAGTTTCTGCAACCATGGATGCCTCTAAGCCTGTGGATCCATGAGTCCCTAAAGGCTCCCTAAGAGATTAAAGTACTTCAGAAAAGTCCCCAAATGGACCCAGTATAGACAGATAGGGAAAGGTAGTGCTTTCCATGCCAACAGTGTTCCTATACACTCGTGGTAAGAACTCCTCCCTATTCCCAATAAAAACATTCTGACAGAGTCCTCTGCAGGACAAAACAGTAAGCAAATGCCCCACATTTCAAAATGTGGACCCCCACAGTGTGCCCCCTGAGAGGGAAGAAGCACTACGCATTATATACAGGGTAAGGGGAGAGGGTAACACAATGTAGGAGACCGCAGGCAGTGGCGGAACTACCAGGGTCGCAGAGGTCGCGGCCGCGACCGGGCCCTGGAGTTCGGCCACTTGGAGGGGGCCCAGGACAGGAGGAAGGGGCCACTGGTGACCGCTGATTACCAGTCCTGGGACCTCTTCCTCCCGTCCTGGGCCCTACATGCTTCACGTTGCTCCCCTCATCTTGTTCCGGGCGCAGCGTGAAGCATCATCCAGCTGGGCAGCAGCCAATGAGAGGGAGCGGTGTAATTGCAGGGTTACCACACCGCTACCCAGGTCAGAATACTAAAGTTCTATCAGGAGGAGACCAGGATGCAATGCGTCATGGCTGGAGCTATATTCGCCTGAGTAGGGTTGTCAGGGCTGTCACAATCAATCCTGCACTGAGCAAGGAATTGCATACATTTGGCTGGAACTTAGGAAACTATGAGGATCTCCATTATCCAGCCTGTCATTCAGCAAGCAACTGAATGACATCTTCTGAAGATGTTTTGGAGAAAACATTTAAAAACAACAGGGGACTTAATTGTGCAGGGAAATTAGGTCATAACTCCTTGGCAATAGAAAAAAAACAAGAGCTCTCCTATGCTGAGAGGGGGTTTGGGCACTAGCAGGGGCAGCTCCTAGGCTAAGCTTATGTTTTGTGCCTAGTGTTCTACTCTTGCAGGTGACAGTATATCTCAACTATGAAGAATAAAAAAAGGGCTATGTCCGCCAATGAACAAAAGGGGAATACATTTTTATATAGAAGTAAAAATTAAATTATATAAAATGGCAGTTTATAAACATCTGAATATTTAGCCAAATGTAAATAAAACTGACTAAAAATCATAAAGGCAAAAATATTAATGAACAGGCATTTTTCCTAGAACAGAAATATTGGGTGTCACACTAATCGAAAGGAATATTGTCACAAATGCATAGAATACCTTACATTTAATCAGTATATTGCCCAAACCCCTTTATAGATAACCAGATGTCTAGGGTATAAGGGGAATATGGATGTCATAAACAGAAAATTATTTTGGAAGAAGTATTTACAGAATCATTATTAATGGTTTCTCAAAGATATTTATACATTGTCATACCAAGGCAAGTATACAAAAGATAAAAACATAATAAAGCATAAAATGAAATATATCACATGAGGCATGAGCTGTAAACTAGACTGTGGTATACTGCTTTCACATGCATGACTGTCTATCTACTGTATACATTTTGAATATATATTGTTTTGCATATGAGTAACATGAAGATATAGGGGGTAATTCACAAAGCTGCCAAAGGCAGCCAAGTAAATAACCCAGCCGAAGTGAAGTGAGCCGAACAACGTTTGGCTATTCACTTCTGTCTTGTAAGGCTGATTTCAGCCGTATATCGTACACCGTACATCGGCTGAAATTAGTCGTACATTGGCTGCCTTTGGCTGCACTTCGGTCAGCCGAACATTCTCTTCATGTTCGGCTGAGGCAAAGTGCAAAAGGACTTTGATTCAGCCGGGCCAAAATCTGGATCGGCTGAGCCAAAGCTCCGGCAGCTCACTTGCTGCCATTCGCCCCTATTCTCATAGGGGCAGAACGGCAGCGAGTGAATAGCCAAATACCTCAGTGGAATGAAAATCAATGAAAAAAAGTGTCAAAAAAAATATTTTTTTTAAAATGTAAATAAAAAAATAGTTAAAAAAATAGATTTTTTTAAAAAAAGGAAAATAAATAATAATTAAAAAAAACAGAAGTGACAGCTAGCACCGCCCAACTGTTTTCTATTTTTTTGCTGTTTTCGCCCAACCTGCCCAGTTGTTACATGGCGCCCGGCTTCAGTTGTTGTTACATGGCGCCCGGCTTCCTGATTGGCCAGAAGTCGGCTCCATGCTTTCTCGTCATGTAGTGATGAGAAGCATGGAGACGGCTTCCCTGCTAACCAGGAAGCCAAGTGGCGAGTCATTATACACCGCCTGGCTTCCTTAATGGGACTTCTGGTATCGGTATTCGGTATCAGCAAGTACCGGGAAAATAATATCGGTACTCGCACTCGATACCGAAAAAACAGTATCGGTGCATCCCTAGCAACTGTTACTGCCTCTCACAGATAAACATTGACATGAATAGCAGACCTTTCTCTGCCAGAGAAACACGGTAGTTCTCCAGGAATATAAATTTAAGTCTTTCTCCAACAGCGGGGTCATTGTTGATAACATCACCCACAGAAGTGATTAGTTTGATGATCATCTTGGCCATGTGGTATCCAGGAGCAGCCTATCAATGAGACAGAGACAAGGAAAACTTGAAGAATGAAATAGGAAAAAAAGAGACTATATGGAGATAGTAATAGACAATAGCTATGCTGTATGGGAAAGAAAGAGTGAACCCAGATGAATAGTGATAAAAATGCACATAAAATTGTGACTGCCCCTGCATTTTCATGTCAGTATTACTGAACTAATAAACTAAAACGAACATACACTGTTTTAGTTGTCCAGTGAATACACAAAGTGGTCTTAGGCTGCTTTAATGTAGCCCAAAATTTGCAGGTAAAGCACCTTATCTGAGCATAAATTGTAACCAATTGTTACCTTAATAGCTTAATAAAAATAAAATATACACAAACATACACACACACACAATGTAATTTTGCTAGTCTGTATTTCTTAGCTCACCTTTCCTCCAATCATCACTGTTCTTGGTACATATTGTTTACTAGGATCCTTCTTTATACCTGAAAGAGATGGTAATTTACAATTAGACCTCAAGAACCTATGCTTAACATTCCTTAAGCATCCACGATCAAGCATACTATATGACTATCATTCCTCTTTCAAATGTTATATCTTAATTACAGTCACATTGGTCTATTTCCCAAAAATGACTTACAGCAGGGCTGCCCATTAGGTCTATCGGGATCTACCAGTGATCGCGTAGCGATCACTGGTAGATCGCGGTGTCCTCTGGATCCGTGGAAAAGTGAAAGTGAAGCTGCAGTCGGCGGTGGGGGCGGAGGACGGAGCCTCTATCCAGGGGGTCGTCTTCACCAGGGGGACATAATAATAATGACACCAGGGGGACATAATAATAATAATAATAATGACTCCAGGAGGCATAATAATAATGACACTGGGAGGACATAATGATAATAATGACTCCAGGGGACATAATAATAATAATGACTACAGTGCACATAATAATAATGATACCAGTGGACATAATAATGACACAGGGGGGATAATAATAATGACACCAGGGGGGACAATAATAATAATATTGACACCAGGGGACATAATAATGATAATGACTCCAGGGGACATAATAATTACACAAGGGGACATAATAATGATAATGACTTCAGGGGACATAATAATGATAATGACACCAGGGGAGGGACATAATGACTTCAGAGGGCATAATAATAATGACACCAAGGGACATAATAATAATAATAATAATGACATAATAATAATGACACCAGGGGACATGCTCAGGTGTCATTATTATTGTTGCTATTCTATGCAGTGGAAGTGGTAGGTGGCGAATTATTCACACGTTTACCATGAAGGTAGAAAGTCGCTGATCACTCAGTTTCTGCACTCACTCTCTCTGCAGAGAGTGGTGACTGTCAGTCACGGCTCCTCGCAGGAATACCCCCCTCCCCGCTCTGATTCTCCAACACTGACTGGAGGGATGGATGGGGCGGACACAACCTCTAGAGAGGTAGAGTCAGCTGTCAATCAGGCGGTGGGGTGGATCTGGACAATATTTTTTGGATCCATCCCAGCTGCAGCGCTGCTCTGCTCTGCCAGCATATAGCAGGCAATATTGCATGGGGGGTGTGGTGGGGGGCCCAAGAAAATGTTTGCCCGGGGTCCAATCAATATTAAAAGATGGCCCTGCCTCTATCACAGCAGTATGCAGAGTGGTGAGGAAAGAGAGAGCCGCTCGGCCTGGATCTGACAGCCAGCAGCTCTCTCTCTCCTCACCACACATGCTGCTGTTACAGCGGCTCCGTCCCCGACCCCCCGCGGCGGCTGAAGTGCTTCCTTCACTTCTCCTTGGATCTCCCGCTGCCTCTGCCCGGGAGAGCAGCGGGGGATCCAGAGGAGAAGTTGCAGAGTGCGTGCGTGGCCAAGCGGCAGAAGATCGGTACATATCAGTGATCACTCCAGTGTTTGTAAATAACTGGGGACACATAGTACTATGTGTCCCCAGTTATTAATGAACATCACTTCCTGTTCACTTCCTGTGATTTACATCACTTCCTGTTCATGCGTGAGTTTCTCAATGGGGAGTAGAATTGTACAGAGGCTCCTCCCCATTCAGAAACTGATAGCAAATATTTTCTGAATGAATGGAAGCCTCTGTGCTTTCCATTCATTTAGAACAGAGGCTACAGAAAAAGAGATTGAGGACTTTGTGTGCTTAATTTCTTTTTCTATTTTAAAAGGGAGATATCAGGAGGCTGTTTAGACCCCTAACATTTCCCCGAACCCCCTCCAACAGTAAAAAAAAAATATTACAATTTAAAAATTAAATAAGAAATAATAAAAATTAAATAAAAAATCCTGGAGGAAGGGCGCTGAGTGACGTCACACGTTTTTTTCTTGCCACGTGCGCAAAAAGAGCTGGCTACGACTATGCTCCCACGGAGCTCGTGCGGCTGCCGGCTGAATGTGTCAGACGCCGCAGACGGAAAGGGGCGGGACACCTCTCCCCGTGTGCAACGTCGGCCATACAAGCACCACGGGAGGATAGGACGCTGGCGCCACTAGAACGCACTGGAAAGCATGCCGGCCGAATACCCGGCGTTCAGGGGCGGGAGGGGGTGTGGGGTTGCACCGCAGCCATGTTGCACGCCCACAGTTCGATCACCCGCACCTTAGTGCCTACATTCCGGTCCAGTATGATCTGCAAAAATAGTGCTTGCAGCATTTTTGCGGATCGCACTGGACCGGAACGCAGGCACTAATGTGCCTGGGTTCCGGGTGCAGGCGATCCCACTGTGGGCGAGGGGCCTGGCTGTGGTGCCATTGACTTCAATGCACCGCCACTCCCCCTCTCGCCCCTGAACGCAGGTGTTTTTTCGTTGGTAGATCTCATTGAGCTCATCATTTGAAAAGTAGATCTCCAGACGAAAAATTGTGGGCGCCAATGACTTACAGCAACCAAATCAGAATTCACCAAAGTAAGGCCAACACAGCTTTCTAGATCCATGATCTTGTTGTTGTTATTGGTACTGCTCTTTCCACAGGGTGCTTTTCTTAATGAACGGTTTTATAAAATAAACTTGTATATATTTGTCCTACAGAACAACTGTATTGCTTTATTTGCTATAGAAAATGTCATGTATAATAAATGAATCAGTGAGTCTACTGGATCCTCAACATTTTGTGGTTTAGATTGTTTCATGAATATTTCTACTGCCAGTATAGTCAGGGCTATCCTGCAACAGGTTTGGAAGGATACACCACAGGCTCTTCAGAAAGCCACATACAATTCTAAAGTCTATCCCCAAGACATGGTCTGGCTGTTGTAATCTTTTCACATAATTTAGAAATTATTTTTCTGGCTATGGTATTGAAAATAGTAAGATCTCATTATATCATGAAAAAATGTATTTATTTTCCATTTAACGTAATTGAAGTCAATAGTAGATTTGATTTATTTTCACCTGTTTTACTTACGGTTGTATAAAGTGATCACATGCAGACAGTTCAAGAGCTGACGCTTGTACTCATGTATTCTCTTTACATGGAGATCGAACATAGAATTTGGATTGATTTTCACTTTGTATTCATTCTCCAAATACCTTGAAAATTTTAGCTTATTTTCCTGCATGAGGCAGTTGGTGCCAAATGTAAAAATATAACAAATCAGATATTACATCAGTATTCACTTTAAAGAGTATTAAGTAGTAGTAGTGAAAGTGCTGCAACATATGTGTTCAGTATATACACCAGGCAGGCTTTTGTTCAATTTAACTTTTGCCCTCCTACTGTAAGGTGCAACTTGACCACACCTGCTTATTGCCACTAGGGGGTTTGCTATTGATGCACCCCTTCTAGGCTAGGCATTTTCCCAATCATACAATAATTTCTCTTAGAGCAGGTTTCTTATTTGCTCTTAAATTAAGCATTCCTCTTTAGTAGGAATGCAAATGTGTTTGGATTGTCATGACACCCAATACCAGCTAATGTTACTGGTACTGATAGCAAATTTAAACTTTACTGCTGTATGGGGATTGGTGGGTAGATGCAGTGAAAGACATGTGCTAACTACTTTTGATGTTATTAGCAAAGTACATATAAATTATCATTATTATTACTGAGCATGGAAGGATTTTTTTTGTTTTTGCTTTTTTTATTTATCCAATGCTGGACCAAATGTTTGCTGTGCTCTAAGGTGTTATATTTTCTATTTTTGTTTTCTCTACAACTGTGCTGTTCATTGAAGACCATAGTAGCGGAGTTATGTAAATTATAAAAACACGCATCTTAGCAAAAGAAAATTAAAACTTTATCATTACATATACAAAAGGGAAATCATGTTTGTAATGTAGATTATCTCAGATTTTATGAAAGTGGCTCATTATTTTAACCAGTGCAAATTCATAATAAAGTAATTTGAGCCAACACACCCCGAAAACCATGCAATACAAGCACAAAAAAATAGAGATTAAGCTTTTAAGGTGTCATTCAAAGAATAAAAGGAAATATATATAATAAAAGGTTTATAAATACTTTTTATGATAATGTGTATTTAAAATGACATCATATCTAAGCTTTAAGCATTATAACCAGTGCATACCTGGGATTGATTGTTAAATCTGTGAGGTGACTGGATGTAGTATTATGGTATATTTCTTGATGATTTTGGGGAGTCTAGTTACAGCATTTAGATGGAAATGTAAGGGCCTCCGGGGGACGGCGTCCCGGCCGTCTGCATTCCACTGTGGAGCGCATGGCCCGGGAGAACAGTAATGCGACTCCGCCTCTCTAGTGGAACGCAGAAGTGGCACTGCGTTCCTGCCGCTCACCCGCACACTCGCGGGATATTTTAACCCCTTCATGACTGAGGCCCCTTTTTCATTTTTTGCACCCATGTTATATTCCTACTTCTGTTGTAAAGTTGGCTCTACAAGTTTAAACAGACTCCTGGCGGCAAAAGTCACCGGGAGTCTGTTTAAACAGCCCCGATGCTGGCGACGTACACTGTACGTCGTCAGTCACGAAGGGGTTAACGGCAGAGAGAGGCTAGCAGGACATTCCACTATTGCGGACCGAGCGCCCTGCAGCCCCCTGACGCCGTTACTCACCTGCACCGGAAGCTTCTACTAACCCAGCAAGCCGGACTCAGTCGAGCTGGGACTTCTTACCCCACGGCCCTGGGGTGTACCTCTACACAGACTGCCTACTCAACCGCAAGTACACTGTGACTATACGAATATACACCTGGGCCAGTGTCATATCCTTGTGTATAGCACCTCGACTCATATTATTGAGAGACTTGTGCACATATTGGCATAAACCTATCTCCACGTTCTTGTTATTACTCCTACTAAGATTGCCACTTGACTACCGTTCCCATCAGACCTCATCAATTTATTTAAAACCACGTCACAAGCTAACATCCTAACTGTGGGTTATGAAGTAATAGCCCCTGCTAGGGAGAGCTTATATTTAGTTGATACGGCGTATGATGCAAGAATCCCTAACTCTCCTTAAAAGACTGAGAGTGACGCCTGAATGAGTAGAAACCGTATTAAGCTGATAGATAAGAATAATGTGCTGTTAGAATCCAAGGGGATATCATGCCCGTCAGTGGCGTAACATTGTGCTTTGTATATCAGCCTTTTAGAGGTTATTAAAGGAAAACTGTTAAAGTGCAAGTAAGCTGAAGCAAAATCAGCAGGCTGTATAAGACAGAAGGGACTGTGTAAGTGTCTTCTGTCATGAAAGCTTCTTGCTGCCATTTTGCAATTATTTATTTTCTATACGCTGAGCCACACATGTGCAGCTCAGTGCACGGACCCGGCATGCCGAGATGAAGTTGCTCCCGTGTGCATGCGTGGTCATTACATCATCGGGGCCTGGCCAATCAAGCGGCCAAAGACTCTCAACCTGGAAGAAGACCGGGAGGAAGATGTAAACAAGGTAGAGATGCAGAGCTGGAGGGGATATATACATATATATTGTGACAGGACAGTGCCGTATCACTATGGTGATTGGTGTGTTTGGCGCCCAGGACTCTCGGCCAGAGGGGCTGAGAGAGTCCAGAAAACATATAGCGTTAGAGGGAAGGAGCTGGGTGTCCAGTTCTTTCCGGGATTTTGGGAATATAACTGGGATCTGGGAATTTGGAGATTTCTAAGAGTCTTGGGTGGGATGAAATCTCCAGTCCTGGGGCCAGGTGCAGCCAATTACCAGGCCAGACTGTCCAGGTGGCTGATAACAGCCATATTAAGAGACTGGACAGATTAAGTGTGTGGGTGGGCTGCAGGCAAATGAGGGCTCCTGCTGTGAAGAGTGACAGGTTGTGTCCAGAAGCCAGAATGGAGCCAGGTGGTTGTGTGTGCGCTGGAGGCACACGAGGAACAGTCTGGGGGGCTGGAAGGCGTAGACAGGCTGAGAGAGCCGGGCACCCAGGGTGTGTGGTGAAATCAAAGGCTGCTGAAAGCTGCACAAAGGGCACAGTGTATTCCCAAAGAGATCCTGTTGAGGAAAACAGTAAGGTCCTGGGACTGGGACACTGAACAGGATAACCTGTGAAGGGTGAGCTGATATTTATGCTGAAGAAAGCTATTTTTGTTGGATTTCCTTTTTCTGCCTTTGGAATTAATAAAAGGCTGTCCTTTGTTATGTGAAAACAGCTTCATGACTGGTCCTCAAGCGCTCACCATATGTGCTAGATTCCCCCCAATATCACAATATATATATATATATAGTTTCCTTAATTCTTTAAATTATGCCTTAAAAGCCCCATCTCTATTTTTTTTGTGGTTGTATTGTAAAATACCAGTGCAAATGATGAAGTGACTTGGCTTCATTATCTGGAGAAAGAAGTAGAGCTTTAGATCTGAAGCATTCTAAGGAATAAAAGTAGCACTATATATTATACACATGTGGTAAAATGGAAAGCTGATAGCATTACTTTTCAGGTATTAGTATATCAGCCTGCGTTCTATGTTATACCTGTAATTAAGCCTGCAAAACAACAGAATTATGTTCTTTTCAATGCTTGTTTTACTTCTTAGTTACAGACAGTATATGTATACAATACCTGCTTGACTTTTGCAATATCTCTGATGAAAGCTTCATCATTCACAAAGTTAAGCAACTTCCTCAGCTGGTCCAGGTTAGTGATGTAATCCTCACCTATGCGCTGTCAGCAGAAACAGTTTGTAGTTTATTATGTCGTTTATTATGTCGTTTATTATGAAACAGCATGCCTTAACAAGGGACTTTTCTTGCTACTGAATAAAATAAAAAAATGTGGAACAATGTTGGTGCACTGCAAAAACCTTTATTGCATATATATCCAATGGGCCTTTATGCAAGTTATGTCTTTGTAGGTATAGTGTACATATTTGATGGGATTATGATCATGACATTGTCTTTGTGTACGGACTGACAACTTGCACATACATACATTTACTTTATAATCAGAATCATCTCCAAGTACAGGAAAAGCATGCAGAAGGTACATAATACTTACCTAGAGCTCAGGGAGTGTAATCGTACTGAGCCTCTTTAGTCGTGAATGCCCATCAGCAGCTACATGCTCTGCATTCGTAGTCATTTCTCCAATGCTGTACTGTTTATTAAACATGCATATACATCCTACAGCTATTCTTTGATTTTTTTTCATATCTGTCATTTTGTGGTTTATGTTTTGGGCCTGTTTTAACTGTCTGTCTCTGTTCTGTTATTTCTATATTCTCTTCTTCTATCTCTAGTAGGGATGCACCGATACTAGTATCGATACCGAGTATTTGGGTGAGTACTCTTACTTGCCCCAAAAGCTCCCGATGCCTATTCTGATACCCCTGCTTCCTGAATGGCCGGGAAGCCGGCTCCATGCTACCTCGTTACCAGGGAACATGGAGCCAGCTTCCTGGCCAATCATGAACCAGGGCTCCATGTAATGACTCGCTGCCCGGCTTCCTGATTGGTCGGGATGCTGGCCAATCAGGAAACCAGGTGGCGAGTCATTATCCACCCCACCGCCTTCCCAATTGGCCAGAAAGCTGGCTGCATGCTTCCTCGTCACCTGGTGACCAGGGACAAGGGTAATGCAGTGCAATGCAATATGAGTTCAGGCATACATTTTTGCCCACAATTTTGGAGCTTTGAATCCAGCGTGGCTCCAAACCCAAACCTCATTCAAACTGATCAAGTGGTAATAGGCTTAAATTGACCACTGATTGTAGCTGCCACAACAGATCTAAAAGTTTACTCTTAAAAAAAAGCTAAAGCCAGAGCATAGTACAAACAGGCCAGTGGCAAAACAATGTAGTAGTACAGTGTGTGAGCTTTTTTTGTCACAATACCACACTGCATTGTCAATGTCAAATTGACATTGTCAAAATAGAGTCCACAAAAACACTTCAAAAAGCCACAACCCCACATTCCCTGAACCTGCCCATCCCTGTATCCCCAAAATATTCAAAAAGATATTCAGGTATGTGTTTGGCAGATATTGCTTAGTGTGAGGACAGTTCACAGATACTTAAATAGGCAGCAAATAGAAGGACACAAGGCATATTTTATCTTTCAAACGAAATTTGAATGTATTATCTGAGCAACAATAGTTACAAAAATTGTTCAGTGGGTGAACAGAATGTAAGCAGCTTGGTTAGGACACAATATATGACAGAGAGATGTGGCAGGTTTTATCTTAAAATAGAAATGAGAGTGTAATATATATAGAAATGAGAGTGTAATATATATAAGAGAAAATAGCCACATATATTCTGCAATGTGTAAGCAGCTTGGTTAGGACACAATATAAGAGGGAGATAGACTAGGCCGCTTTTATTTTGCAATAAAAATTGAGTATTATCTGACAGATAATAGCCACAAACTTCAAAGCACTACACATCATTTTCCCTGCAGCAAACATTAGAAATTTGGCAGCCGAGGTCCAACTGCAGAAACTTAGTGTGTAACATTAAAAGTGCCGAAGTACTGGCATAGGCCACAAAACTCGAGATGCAGTGTAAGATTTACCCTGCAGCAAATATTAGAAATTTGACCACTGAGGTCCTGTAAGGAAAGTTCAGTGTACTTCAACTCTTAAAGGCCAGAATCTTTTTTTGGGGGGGGGGGGGGGGGGGTGTGTGGGGAAATGGGGTAT